GCCGACTCCCAGAGTGGTCTAGTTAGTGAGTAACAAAATGGCCCCCAAAGGCTTCATGCTGTTTTGTGGCGGCCACTTTTCCTGATATGCATTGGTGCAGCTTGACTTTTCTTCTGAATGTGCCCTTAACCCTGGCTCACGTATTTTGCTGGAATTTTCAGCCCCTGCTCCTGCCTGTGCTGCCAAATGGCTGTGGCCAACTGCCCAGACAAGGTTTAAAGTTTCTGTCTGAAGTCTTGGGAAAATGGGTCGTTTAGAGAATTGATTTTCAGCAAACTGACCAATCAAGGTCATTTTGTGAATTGGCTTTCAGAGAATTGATTTCCCAAATCCTGATCCAATGACTAAACTTTTAAAAACGAGTCTGCAAGCCCCAAATCAGAAGCACGGGATTTTGCATGTTAAGAAACAGTTATGGGAACACAACATCCTGAGTGTATTAAATGCCACTAAATTACGCACTAAATTTTAAATGGCTAATTTTATGTTATCTGAATTTCACTGCAATTAAGAAACAACTAACAAAATTCATACCCAGAACATGAATTCATTCCAGACGGAGTTAAATTTATGGAGGAATCTAATAAAGACTTTTAAATAACCTACCAAAGAGATAAGAAAAAGGGACCACAGCCATCAACGTAAATACATTACAAAAACCGAACGGCAGATTCAAGACAGGAACCGATAGGTATGAAAATGGCACATCCTGGAAATGAGAAATACAGTCACCGAGACAAAAGGCTGAGAAGGTGGGATAAGATCAAGTACACAGTTGAAAAGAGAATTAGTGAAGTAGAAGAGAGAAATAAGGAATTTGACCAGAATGCAAAACAGAGAGACAGAGATGACAATTTCTTTCTTTCTTTCTTTCTTTCTTTTTTTTTTTTTTTTTTTTTTTTTGAGACAGAGTCTCGCTCTGTCGCCCAGGCTGGAGGGCAGTGGCTGGATCTCAGCTCACTACAAGCTCCTCCTTCTGGGTTTACGCCATTCTCCTGCCTCAGCCTCCTGAGTAGCTGGGACTACAGGCGCCCGCCACCTCGCCTGGCTAGTTTTTTGTATTTTTTAGTAGAGACAGGGTTTCACCGTGTTAGCCAGGATGGTCTTGATCTCCTGACCTCATGATCCGCCTGTCTCAGCCTCCCAAAGTGCTGGGATTACAGGCTTGAGCCACCACTCCCGGCCTCTTTCTTTTTTTTTTAAAACAGAGTCTCGCCCTGTTGCCCAGGCTGGAGTGCAGTGGCACCATTTCCGCTCACTGCAACCTCCGCCTCCCGGGTTTAAGCAGTTCTTGTGCCTCAGCCTCCTGAGTATCTGGGACTACTATAGGTGTGTGCCACCATGCCCAGCTGATTTTTGTATTTTCAGTAGAGATGGGGTTTTGCCATGTTGGTCAAGATGGTCTTGAACTCTTGGCCTCAAGTGATCCACCAACCTTGACCTCCCAAAGTGCTGGGAGTACAGGTGTGAGCCACCATGCCCGGCCTGAGATGATTTAACACGTGTGCATGCATGTGCACACACAGACGTGCACACACAGCAACTGAAAGCCCTGCAAGGCTGGGCTGAAAGCCCCCAGGAATGGGGACTCCTGGGCCTCAGGGGGCCCCATCCATACAGGGGGAGGGTTGGGCTGGGGTGACTTGAGCTCACCCAGAGCGTTTGGCAGGGTCTTTATGTCATCGCTCCTGAGGGTCCTGTGGAGCCTGTTCCTGCTGGCGCATTGGCAGCTCAGAGCCACACGCCTCTCCCGAGGGTGCTCTGGCTGCCCGTCTGCCCCTGTCCCTCCCTCCCTCGGTCGCCCTAACAGCTGCACCCGCAGCACAAGGTCCCCTGAAAGTGCACAGCGAGGCTGGAGCCACTGCAGACAGGACACGGCCCTGCGGGTGTTTCATCTCATTGTGAGAGGTTTCCAGTTGGCACAGGTAGTGTCTGCTTTCATCCGTCCTTCCAGAAACAAGGGGCCCTGGGCCACGGGAAGGGCACACCCTGCACTTTCATGCCTGTGTGGGAGTGGCCTGTCCACTGGAGATAGCCTGTGCCCCCCTAGCAAGACCACGCTCATTTTGTGAGAGCTGCCGCCATCCTGTGGCACTTGGGCCTGGAACTCGCATTCCTGCTCCATTCTGAGGGCCAAGCGATGTTGGTAGATGCAGAGAGATGGGGGCCTGCGGTGGCCGACACCCAGAGCATCCTTGGTGGCTCTTTTTTTTTGAGACAGGCATGGGAAAGGCCCCCCTCCCGCCCCCTGGATCTGCCTGTGAGCACAGGGTGCCCCTGAGGGTGTCCAGAATGAGAACAAATTCTGTGTGGGACAGAGTCTTATTCTGTTGCCCAGGCTGACCTATAGTGGTTCGATCATGGCTCACTGCAACCTCGAACTCCAGGGCTCAAGTGATCTTCCCACCTCAGCCTCCTGAGGAGCTGGGACACAGGGGCACACCACCATGCCTTCCTATTTTTTTTTTTTTTTTTTGGGAGACAGGATCTTGCTATGTTGTCGAGGCTAGACTCAAACTCCTGGCCTTAAGTGATCCCCCTCAGTCTTCCAAAGCCAGGTAGCTTTTGATTGCAGATTCTAGCTAGGCTACAGGACATGAGGAAGTGGGGGTGTGGAAATCACAGCAACACCCTCTCCCAAGGGTGCTTTCCGTGGCTGTGTACACAGCCCACCTGGCCGGCTCTGAGAGCAACGACACTTCTCTGGATGCTCCAGGCCATCACTGTGCGGGAGCCCGGTGTGTCATAAGTGAAGGACAGGCATCTTTACCTTGGGGGAGACTGTTGTGGGTGCCTCCCTGCAGGCTCGGACATCTGTAATTCCCCAAATGTAGGTGCCGCGTTGAACAATCCCTTAGACTTCACTGGGGCACCGTGTGGTCACTGTGCACATCCTTCCCAGGTCAGCTGTGGAATTCCGTGGAAAAGGTTTTGATTTTTGATTCCAACTCAATGGTCCAGGAGCTCAACCTTCTCTTTTCAGAACAGTGCCCCCCATTGTGGAAATCTCAGTTCAGCCACTGGAAGCTCCCCGGTTTCGAGGGCAGGCGTTAGCAGTTTCATTTGGTGCAACACCAATTCTACATTCCTCTGCCCCCTTCAACAGTCTGCGCAGCCTCCTGGTGACGCAGTCTCCCGGTGACGCAGCCTCCCGGTGACGCAGCCTCCTGGTGACACGGCCTCCTGGTGACACGGCCTTGCTAGCTGCCGTCCTGTACCGGGCCCAGGTGACACCGTGGGACGTCTGTTATTGAGGCACCCCGTGCCTCTGCCATGGGGTTTCCCACTTTGGGGTCCTTGCATCTGCGTGGCTTCTTCCTTCCTCTCAGCGGTCACCTGGTTGTCAGTGGCCCACGTCCATCAGCCCCCCATCATTCTGACTTGTTATTTTGATCAACCACCGGAAAGCCAGACAGCTGGCCTTGCTGGACCGTGTCTGCAATGGGAATTTCGTGGCCGAGAGGGGCCCCTGGGAGTGCACCACGTAAATGGGGGCTTGCACACGGGGAGGGAGGCTCTTGTTCTGATGTTTTGGGATATTTTCTGCCCCTTGTAGAACCACAGGTGTGTGCAGGAGCTCTGAGGAGGCCAGAGAAGGGTGAGCAGGGGGCCGAGGGTTCTGTGGCGAGGTCGGGCTGCAGATGGAGCTGGGGCTTGAACTCAGGAGCTGGTCTTCCCTGCTGGGGCCGCGACGCCCGCCGCTTTCCTGCTGGCTCTCTGGGTCAAGGCCTGGAAAGGCTTTCTTCTCAGGCTTCTCATCAGCTTATCGGCCCATTTAGGTATCGGCACTTCCTGTCCATTAACCTCAGCCGCACTGAGATCAGCTCTCCACACCGCTTGGCGGGAGCCTTCCTATTTGGAGAGTAAAAAGAGCGTGGCCTCCGCAGCGGCCAGGAAGTGGAAAGCCCTGGCTTCCTGGTTCCAGAGAACAAACAGGGGATGCAGCTCCCAGATGCAGCTGAAAGTGCTCTGGGGACGGGGACAGTCGGCTGCGGCCTGTCCCAAGCGGCTGCCCTGTTGCACTGATGTCCTGGCCCCTGAGAACACATCAGTAGGGCCTGGCCGGACCCTGGGCTGATGCCACTCTTAGGGGTGAGATGGGGAGCCTGGCCCAGGCTGAGACCCCCACCCTCCACCCAAAACGTGTCCGGGCCTCCAGGCCCTGCAGAGCACACTGGGGGCTCAAGACGGTGCCTCTTCTGTGGGACTTGGCCACAGCCGGTCTGATGCCTCACTTCTCTGACTCTTGGAGGCATGGTGCTGGCCTGTCTGTGAGTCCCAGACCCCCCCCCATAGAGCTCGCTCCAGGGCCAGGCCCGGCCCCCTCACTGCCTCTCAGCCAGGCTCAGCTGGTCTCTGCCAGGGAGAAGCTTGGTCTCTCTCTCTCTGCCTCCAGCTGCCTCTCCCGGGCTGCTGCGGCATCGCCCCAAGCCTGGGCGCCAGTAGCAGCCTCTGTCCCTCCAGCCCGTACGATGGCTCTGTACTACCCGGGGACTCCCTCCAGCCAGGCCAGACATGCTGGGCAGCCAGGGTCCCTGAGAGCCCCTTGACAGGGACTGATGGCAGGTGGGGGATAAGTAGCCAAGTGTCTCCTGCCAGCGGGGGCAACTCTGCAGGTGGCTCTGCAGCCTCCCCAGTCCCCCATGGGTGCCTGCCCCCCAAGACCCCCATGGGGCACCTGCCCCTTTGTCCTGACTCCTGCTGCTTCCCTCTCCCCTCCTGGGGTGGCCAGGGGTCACCCACCATGTAACCCTGAATCCTGTCCCAGCCTCTGCCCCTGGGGAACCCGCCCAGCAAGCCATTGCCCTCACTAAGGTCCAGGCCGTCTTCCATGGTCCCCTCACCACCTCATTCTTTCTGGCCCCAGAGGCCATCACCATCCAGGGCACAAGGGGGCCTGCCCCTTGGCCAGGCGGCTGCCTGTCCTCTGACCCTGGGCTGTGGATAGGGGGAAGGGAGAGCTGGAAACCGGGGTCAGGAGGATGCCAGCAGGTCCGTCACTCCCTGCCTGGATCCGGCCAAGTGCGGGGGACCTTGGCCAGTGTCCTAGAGAGCTGGCGTACCTCCTGGGCCTGACGCGGGCTTCCCGGATTGCATAAAGGCTCCTTCTCCTTACATAGCCAGGGCAAAGGTGCATGACAACCCTGAGCAAGTCAAAACAACCGTCAGCGGTGGGAAACCTCGGTGAACAAACACCGGGAGAGTGGTGAGTAGCTGCCAGGAAAGCCCCGGCCTCCGGCAGGAAAGGGACTCTGGGTGGGGCGGCCCCAGAGAGAAAGTGGTCAGATGTATGGACAGACAGATGGCAGGGCCGGCCAGGCAGCGCTAGGCTGTGCAGTTGGCCTGGGGGTCTGGAGCCTCCAGGACCCACAGATGCACCCCCACCCTCATCCCTGGCTTCTTTCGGCCCCGCAGCGGGGCAGCAGCACTGCTGTCCTAGCCACACCAGGCGCCGGCGTGTCCTGGTAAAGGCCTCGTGCATTCTGTCCTGCTGGTGGGGGAGGCTGGCCTCGTGTGCTTGTCCTTAGAGGGCAGCATGAAGGTGCCACACCCCACCCGGGAGACGAGGGGAGTGGACCCCACATGAGATCCAGGCCGCATGAGGCGGGGGCTGCCATGACAGAAGTACTGCATGCTGGGGGCCTCGTGGAACGGAAATGGACTCTCTCAGAGTCCTGGGGCCAGACTTCAAAATCAAGGTGTTGGCAGGGCCACCTCCTGCTGAAGGCTTCAGGAGAAAACCCTTCCTGCCGCTCCCAGCTTCCAGTGGCCGAGGCAGTCCTTGGCTTGTGTCTGCATCGCTCCAGTTCTCTGCCTTCATCTCACGTGGCTGTGTCTCTGCACCTTTCCCCCTTCTCTTCTAAGAACATGTCCTTGGATCTCAAGTCCACCCTCGTCCAGGAGGCTGTCATCTCAGAATCCTTAACTTAATGCCATCTATCTGCAAAGACCCCTTTTCCAAATCAGGTCCCATTCTCAGGTTCCTCGGGTTAGGACCTGAACAATGCTTTTGGGGGCGTCGTTCATCATCCAACCGCACTCGGCATGGGACGGCCCCCTCCTGCCCCCTGGATCTGCCTGTGAGCACAGGGGGCCCCTGGGGCTGTCCAGAGTGAGAACAAATTCTGTTTGGGACAGAGCTGACAGAGGCCCCGGACGCTGGCCTCCCGAATGGGAACGGGGCTGTGATGTTGGACCCTGTTCTCAACACCAGGCCCACGCCACCAATTTGTGCTTCTGTCTGGGCCAGGCTCTCCCTTCCCCTTGCCCCAGTCTCAGGAGGGTGTCTGCAGGTTTCTCTCCCTGGGGGACACAGCCATGTGTGGGTTCCACTTCATTCTCCAACTGCCCTGGTGCTGAACAGAAGCTGAGTCTGCCCCCCTCCCATATGTGGGGTTGGAGAGCCTGGGGTACCCTGGCCTCAGAGGCAGTGATGATGCAGGAGGGAGATAGATGGGAGAGGGACCTGGGATGCCATTGGAATCCCTCCGGGCTTCATCTGAGCTGTCTCTGCCCCCTTCTAGCATTCCCAGGTGAGTTTCAGGAGGCCTATGGCCCCTCCTGTACTGGCCTCCACCACCCAGAGCCTTCCAGCATCATGTCTTCCCCTTGGAGCATCTGGAGGCCCCAGACAGCACCCACCTGATGTTCAGCAGAGGAGGAGACAGAGGCCTGCAGCAGGTGTTTTGTTGGATCTGACGCTCAGCAGAGGGGGAGACCGAGGCCTGCGGCAGGGTGTTTTGTCGGATCGATGCTCAGCAGAGGGGCAGACCGAGGCCTGCGGCAGGGTGTTTTGTCGGATCGGACGCTGAGCAGAGGGGCAGACTGAGGCCTGCGGCAGGGTGTTTTGTTGGATGCTGCTCCCTGGCCGGGGAGTGAGAGGGAACCCACCTAGAGGTGCTGGATGGGGTGCCTGGCCAGCGTGACCTGCAGGCCCCTCAGCTCCTCACAGCCCCTGCCCCCAGCCTTCCTGGGCCCAGAGATCTCCTTGTTCCCCTAGTCCAGGGACTAGTCCAGAGGCTCAGATGTCATGCTTGACCCCACAGGTACAGGGTTAAGGGTGAAGGTGGCTCTCTCTTCATGTCTTCACCATGGCTTCTCTGCCTTCCCCCGCTCCTGGTGGCTTATGTCCTGCCGCTCTTGATACCCGACTGTGGTCTGTCCTGGGATGGTTGTGATGCATATGTGCTGTTGTTGTGAACCGTAACACTGAGGTCTGGTCTTACGGTTGGTTTTGATTGTCCCTTCTGCTCCCTTTTCTTATTTTAATATTTTACCATTTTCTGTTTTAATGTATTTGTTGTCTTTTTGGCTAAATATCTTTTCAGTTTTATTTTACTGTATATCTTTTCTGAGTGATTGCTTAGAGATTACAATATATTAAACCTAGCCTTTCACAGTTTCTGTAGATCCTGCTTTGTGACTTCAAGGGAAGTGTGGAAGCGGTGGAAGCACTTAGACCCTGCCTGTGAGTTGTCATATATCATGTCTGCAAACATTAAAAATCTCACCAGATGATGGGGTGTGTGTGTGTGTTGTGTGTTGTGTGTTGTGTGTGTGTGTGTGTTTTTAGACAGAGTCTTGCTCTGTCACCCAGGCTGGAGTGCAGTGGCCTCTCGGCTCACTGCAACCTCCACCTCCCAGGTTCAAGCGATTCTTCTGCCTCAGCCTCCTGAGTTTCTTTCACTTTCCTTGAGGAGAAAAAATTAAAGTTCTGAGCAAACGGATGATAAGGGAGCTCTTGCTTTCCTCTCTTGGAGTTCTAGGCGGCTGGTGTTAGTGGCACGTGGAACTGATCACATACGTACACTGGGTCTTGAGGCCATCTCCTCCTCTGTAAGTCGAAAGGTTGGTGAGAACGGAGGTGTGGTGTGATCTGACAGTGGCTGGTGGCCTCGTTCGTCCCTGTGCTGCTGGCCTGCCACGTCTCCAGCTCTTTTAGTGGAATGGCCTGCCTTTGGAAGAGGAAGTGCTACTGACAAGTCTCGTTCCCTGGGGCCACATTCCCACATGGCAAAGGTGGGCAGCACTGAGTTGTGCCTGTGCGTTCACCACCGTCCCCACCCTGTGTCATCCCTCGTGGCATCCGTCCCTGCCTGGCCTCCGTGGGCACTGGAGGTGGCACTCTTGTCTAGGTGTCTCTGGCCTGGCAAAGCTCCGCGGCTCCGGCCTGAGTGACGACCTGCAAGCACAGACTGGGCGCTGAGCCCGCCTGAGCTGAGTCAGGGCCGGAGAGCCAGCCGAGTGGCACACTCCCGAGAACACAGCTGGCCGTGTGGTCAGGGCCTTGGTCGACACACTGTCCGCCTGGCATGGGCATGGGGACACGAGGGGCAATGCCAGAGCATTCCCAGAGCAAATGCGTGGTCGTCCCCCAACACCTCCTCCCTCAAGGTCCAGCTGCTGCCAAATGTCCCTTAAAACCCCAGGCGGGACTCCAGCAAGAGCCCCGGGAAGCTTGATGACGAGACTCCTGGCCTCGCCTCCCGGCAGTTTCCCCCACTGTGGCAGGCCTGGGCTGGCCTGGACATTTGTACAGGCCCCTCAGTGACTCTAACCCTGGCCAGGTTTGGGGACCACAGGGGACTCTGGGGCCCTCTTTGCTTGGTGACTTGGAGTTCTGGCCTCGTACCCCCAAGATAGCAAAGGGCCTGGCCCTCCTGGTGTCATTGCTCTCCTGGGTCCCAAGCTTGCCTGTCCCCATGGGCCAGGGCAGGGCTGTGTGCCACGTAAGTCACCGTTCCATGGAAGGGAAGACTAAGAAGTCACTTGCAGCCAGGTCAAGTGGGTCTGTGCAAGTGGATGTCCTTCCTCTTGCTGTCTGCGTGGGTCACGTTGACCAGTTTGTTAAGCCCAGGCCAGAGGAGGCTCACTGCCTAGGCTGGGAATGAGTTTGGTGTGGCTTCACACACACACCACACTCACACACACCTCATTCACATACACACCGCACTCACACACCGCACTCACACACACCCTGCACTCACACACCACACACACACCACACTCACACACCCCGCACTCACACACCACACACACACACCTCACGCCTCTGCCGCACTCCACACCGCACTCACACCACCCACCTCTACACACCACCACACACTCCACCACCACACTCCACACACCACTACCCGCACTCCACACACCCACACTCCACGCCTCACACACCCACACACACACACCGCCTCCCCCACACCCTCCACACACCACACCGCACTCCTGCACACCACACACACACCGCACTCCACCACACCGCCTCCACCCGCACTCCACACACCACATGCCACACACACAGCACTCCACACACGCATTCACATACACACAGCACTCCACACACACACTCACACACCCCGCACTCACACCACACACACCGCCTCACACACTCCACACACACACCACACTCCACCCATCACACCACACACACACACCGCACTCCAGCATGCCGCACTCCACACCACACACACAGCACTCCACACACACCTTTCCACACACCCCGCACTCCACACACCACACGCACACACCGCCTCCACACACCGCATTCACATGCCTGCCTCCACACACCGCACTCACACACACCACACACACCGCCTCCTGCCCCCACTCACCACCCACCACACCGCACTCACATGCACGCCGCCCTCCACTGCCCACGCCTCCACACCCGCCTCCACCACACCACACACACACACCATGCTCACACACTGCCTCACCGCCTCACCCCGCCCCACTCACACCACACACACACCGCACTCACACACACACACACGCACTCCACCACACTCTACGCACTCACACACACCCGCACTCCACACCACACACACACCGCACTCACACACCCCGCACTCACACACCGCACTCACACACCCCGCACTCACACACCGCACTCACACACCGCACTCACACACACCATACTCACACACAGCACTCACACACCACACACACACACCTCACCACACCCGCACTCCACCCGCACTCCACCCACTCCACACACCGCACCTCACACCACCCGCACTCTACCCGCACTCCACACACCACGCACACCGCACTCCACCATACGCCGCACTCCTGCCACGCCTCCACCACCACTCCCACACACCACACACCCCACACCTCTGCCACACCTCCCCACCACACACACACCTCCCACCTGCACTCCACCACCGCACACACACTCCTGCCACTCCCCCCACCACACCTGCCTCCACACAGCATTCTGCCACACACATTCCACCACCTGCCTCCACACCCCGCCTCCACCACACACCACCGCACTCCGCATTCCATACGCATTCACACACCGCACTCACCCCCGCCTCCACCTGCCCCGCCTCCACTTTCCTCACCTTTGCCTGCCACTCCACACACCGCCTCCTTTGCCTCTCACCGCACACACACACCGCCACTCACCACCATGCCTCTGCTGCCTTTACACCACACACTGTACTCACACCACACCATCTGCACCACACTCCACCACACACGCAGCCACACTCCACACAAACCCCGCTCCCTTTACATGCAGCACTCCTGCACACACATGCCGCCTCACACATATGCGCACTGCAGTACTCACAGCCACGCCCGCCTCCTGCGCCACTCCACCGCCCGCACTCCTGCAGCACTCCACATGCCGCACTCCACACACCCGCACTCCACCGTGCTACCGCACTCACACACCACACACACACCACACACACACACACACCGCACTCACACACAAACACACACTCCCCACACCTGCCTCCACCACCTGCTGCACACACACACGCACTCACACACACACGCACTCTGCTGCACTCCACACCTCCACCACCACTGCATGCCGCCTCACCGCACTCCACCCCGCCTCCACCACCTTACACTCTACCGCGCACCTCTCCATCACTACACACACACACCATGCCTCCCCACCTGGCCTCCACTCCTACTGACACTGTCACACTCCACACACCACATACTCTTACCGCCTCTTGCATGCACTCAAGCTACACCTTCCACTCACCCGTGCTCCACCACTCTGCACCTCACCTCACCACCACACACACTTGCTCCAACACTGCGCTCTGCACCTGCACTCTGCTGCCCCACACACGCCTCACACACACGCGCTCACCATGCTGCTCCTGCCATCACACACACACTCTCACACACATGTAGCACTCCACCACTCTCTTCCACATATCCCTGTGCATGCCTCCACCTCTTACCACACTCACACACACACACAACCACACTCCTGACACCTGCACTCACACAAACACCTCACACACACACTCACACACCGCACTCCTATCTTGCCTCCACATACATAGCACACACAAACACTGCTCCACACACCATTCACACACACACACTGCACTCACACACGCCGCTCCACACACCACACTCTCACACACACACACCTGCATACCATCACCACATGCACTCCGCCGCACTCACACACATGCCGCACTCACACATATGCCGCACTCACACACCGTACTCACAGACACGCCGCACTCACACACGCCGCACTCACACACACGCCGCACTCACACGCCGCACTCACATGCCGCACTCACACACCGCACTCACACACCGTACTCACACACCGCACTCACACACCACACTCACACCACACACACACACACCGCACTCACACACACACACTGCACTCACACACACACCGCACTCACACACTGCACTCACACACCGCACTCACACATACACCACACTCACACACACTGCACTCACACACACACCCTCTACTCCATATGATGATAAGTGAGTGGCTGGAGCAAGCCGCAAGGAGCTTTTGAGTGCACACCAGAGCTGCTTCCGCTACCTCCAGGCCTCTGATGGCTGCGGCTGCAGACACAGCCTGCCTCGTGGTGTGTAAGAGCCAGCAAGGATGACACACAGGCACAGAGAGACGTGGCTGGGCTTCAGGAAGCAGGTCTATGTGGGATGGAAGTGCATAGAAAGTCATTTCTGGAAGGCTGACACCAGTCAGCACTCCCTGAGCGAAAGGACTTGGGGACGTGTGGATGCACTTCTTGTATCTCCTAGGAAATGCGCCCCGAGGATTTGCGACGTGGAAATGGAACGGGGCTTTGGAGTGCTGGGCACCCCGTACCTCGAGCAGTACAGGTGGACGTTTAGCTCAGCTCGGGGTTTGTGGCTTCAGGGGGTCATGGTCCACAGGGGTGCCAGGCGGCTGGGTGGGTCAGGGAGAGGAGGCGGGAAGTGCTGAGGAGCAGGATCGCTTGAGCCCAGAAGGTCAAGGTTTCAGTGAGCTAAGATTGCGCCACTGCACTCCAGCCTGGGGTGACAGAGCAAGACCCTGTCTCAAAAAATAGAAATAACATAAACTTGAGGTGGGACAGGGCCTTCCGTGGTTTGAGCCTCCTGCCAGTATCAGGGCTAAGGGAGGAAGCTCTCCAGCCTGGGTGTGAGCAGAGGGGAAGCAGGAGCACTGAGGCTGCAGCCCTGACAGCAGCCAGACATCAAAGATGGAGTGGGGGCGGGATGGGAAG